ATTATTACATTAAAGCGTGGCGCAAATGAACGCTGTGAGATCCCCTGTATTTTTGTGAGTGGATGACCTGAACCCAGATACCCTATTAATCAACAATTACATTGCTGGACTTAAATCTCCATAGATGTACTTAGGCTTCTGACACCAAAGTTTCGATGTTGACATGCGATCACTACAGCAGCACTTTCCATAACTGGGAGCCGTACCGGTTTTATATCGGTGGAAGTACAATGGAAAAACCAAATAGAAGAAAGGCATTATCTTCACCAGGTGACTTCTAAGATATTTCAAGAAGAGTCACCACTGAGACAGTTCCTTACACATGTGTTGTCTTGGCAGAGGACAGCTATAAACACTCCACAATCACAAAAAGTAAAACGGGACCAGGAGCATATGCGACAGGGTCACAACACAACAGACCGACGGAAAGCAAAGAAGTAACTGGCATCCAGTGTTCCTCTGTTAACGAACTGTACCGTTTTGATAGTATTGTAATTTTCTTTGATGGCACATGCGCTCGTTTCCCTGCATATTTATTAAAAATAATTGTGCATTTTTTGTATCTTCCATTGAAATAATAAATTATCTTTACATATTTTGATTGACCCTGAAAACAGTTTAGTTCTTATATATTGTGTATCCATGGGCACATCCAAACAAGGCATTGTATGAAAAATTGTAGAAAGTCAGTGTAAGATCGCCTGAGCGTTAGATAGCTGTTGACCGATATAAACAATTCTGTAAATCCCCACCCCACTCCTCCCAGAATAAAAGTCCTATCCGGGTTGTACGTGCGATATAAAACAACGTTGATGACCTTCACTGTTTGGTATCAGTCACTTTGGCCACCAGTCAATCCGATATCCCAAACTTACACATTTTCCAAATATTTTGACGGAATTATTCTCGTCCCTCCACAACTTTATTTAAAAAGCAATTTTACTCCAGCTTGTGGAGTGTGCATTCTATAAACTACTCTAGTTCTTTCATGATCTTGTTTGTTACCGTCAGTGTAAACTTTAATTTAAATTTAAAGGAACAAATCCAGCAACGCAGCAATAAATATTAAACACTACTTTCAAAATGTGGATGTGAAGAAACTTAATTGTACAAAAATGTTATTGGAAAGATGATGTTAAGAGCGAGCTAAGAGGTAACCACAAAAAAACAAACAAACCACCGGACATTTATTTACTGAGTCAGTTTGACTACATATCGATTAAAGTAAGGGGGGGGGGGGTCCTCCGGCCCTGGGCGAGAACCATTCCCGTTCTTTCGCAACACAAACGATTGCATTAAAAGCACTCCTACAACACCTTGGTTGGTGTTGCGTAATAAAGGTAAACCGATATTTTTGATGTATCATATCAGATGGTAATGTTTTACTGTATCAAGGGCCTGTATCATGTGTTGTTATGTGAGGGAATGAGTGTATTTCCCCTTTATGCTCACTTTTAAATCATCCACTAGGACTAGTCATGGGATTTTAAATACAACCGTAAAATTGTAAATATTTTGTGAGACTTCATTAATTTTGTTTTTTGATACAAGGGGTATAAACTCCACAAGTGATACACTCCACAAGCTGTACACTCCACAAGGTATACACTCCACAGTGTATACAATCCAAATGTTATACACTCCAAAAGTTTTACACTCCACAAGGTATACACTCCACAAGTTATAGACTCTACAAGTTATACATGCCACGAAGTATATACTCCGCAAGGTATACACTCCACAAGTTATACCATTCACAAGTTACACACTCTACAAGGTATACACTCCACAGTGTATACATTTCACAGGGTATGCACCCCGGAGAGTCTCTGTGAAGTTTTCAAATATTTAAATACATTAATTCAAAAGTTTAACCCAGATTTGATAAATCAAAATATATTTTTTTTAACAGCCATGGCAATAACGATGTGCTTTTCGTAATTCTGAGTAAGCAGTTTAAAGAGCGAGACACGATTCTTCACAGCAGAAACCAAGTTCTTGCAGCTCAACAAAACTCATGATTACAGCGACCTCCACTGCTCTCATATGTTCTGCCGTGGAAATTGAGTTCCTGCATCAGTATCCCCCAGCGAGATCTAAATTCCAAAGCTTTCACTTAATAATGCAGTATTTTCACCAGAAAAACGAGATTTAAACCACAAAAAAAAAAAAGAAATAACCACACAAAAATTATATATTTGTAAACAGTCAAAGTTCGTAGCTGAGGCACGGGTATTCAGCTAGTTCTGTATACGTCTATGATGTTATGGGCATATTTTTTTTTATTACAGTCAATAAAGCATTTACCTTCAACGAAGGGAGAAATGGAAAGAAAAATAGTAAACGATCTTTTAAAAATCTAGGTATGATTTAGTCATGTCAATGATGCGCGTGCAGCTAAAATGACATTCCACACAAGGTCTTTATATTTCCGGAGAGGTGTACCACTCCTCGTTTATAAGAATAATCCCTCTAGTGAACGCTCGGGAAATATGCGCATTTTAACGCAGCCCAAGCTTCACCTTTGATTATTTAGCGAAATGGAGGTAAACACATTTTTTTTTTTCAATGTCACAGAAATTTAATATTAAGATTCTATTGTGTGACCTTTTTTTTCCCTCCAAATTCATAATTTTTATGCAGGGATGATAACTAAAAACTTTCCAGATTTTTATTTTTTTTACATTCAAATCTTTTCAAGTGTACTTTTAAAATTCAATTTACAAATAACCGGATGTCCCTTTCACAAGTTTATGAGCAATGATAACATAAAACAAACTACTTTTTAAAGCATCTTTTTTTTAAAATTCAGTACGATGTAACAGAGGGATCATAAAATATCCCATGGACATTTGTAAGGATTTGGAGCAAAAGTTAAGTAGTAATATTTTAATTTAACATGTCATTGTTTTTTTTTTTGTCATTTGAGCAAACATGATGGCTAGCCTAGATCTCCAAAATATTGTCTCTAAAAGGCATAGGCAAGCGGTTGTGAAAGCTGAAAATATAAAAAATGTAGACAAGAAACATTATATTCTTAAACAAGTTTAAGCTTAGCACACACCACAAACATTTGAACATACCACTTAATTACCACATACCCTTCAAATTAGCACCTACCAACCAAATTTAACACTTACCATTCAAATTAGAACATACCACTCAAAATAGCACTTACCACTCAAATAAACACATACCCTTCAAGTTAGCACTTACCATTTTATAGGCATGTACCACACAATTTACCACTTACCACTCAAATAAGCACATACCACTGAAATTACAACTTACCACTTTAATAATCACATACCACTGAAATTACTACTTACCCCTAAATAAGCACATACCACTCAAATTACCACTTAAATAATTACTACTTACCACTCAAATAAGCACATACCACTCAAATTACAACTTACCACTTTAATAATCACATACCACACATTAAAACACACAATTTGAAGTTAACTGTAACTTGTAACGAAAACAATATTTATTGGCAAAAAAATATTTTATTCATCAAATTTTTTTTTTCATATTCTGTATTCTACATTCTTTTTCAATTATCCTTATATCTGTTCAGTGCAGATATATCCTCAATTTAGCTTGAGCAAGGAAAATATGTTATCTATAAAGCGTAGATTGATGTATGTGACAAAACAATTAAACATCAGTAAACAATTGCTTGATGTATGTTATAAAACAATAAAATATCAGTAAGCGACGGTCAGTAATGCTTCATAAAAACAAAATATTTATAATATTTATCAGTAATTCAAGGTCCTAATGAATGAATTGTATATGTGTAGGCAAATGATTTGAAATTATAATATGCTGGACATTTAAGACGGAAAACCTGGCTATATAAAAACATTTTAACCAACTCCTAGTGTCAAAAATGTATACAAGTCATTGAAAGAAAAGTATTGCCAGTAATGCAGCTATCAATGACTTGATAATCAATGAAGCTTTAAATAATAGTGAGCTCCTTAAATCCCTGATCAAGTTTCACTTAAACACTAGGCCAAAATATCAACAAATACATTACATGTAATGTTTACGGCTTTAATAAATAATTGCACTTCAGACTTAAAAAAAAAAAAAATGAAATGTTCTCAGGGACTTTTTTTAAAAACTGGCTGTCAATTTAAATAAGAGCAGTTCTTTCCACAGACGCCCAGACGCGTACTGGTGTCAAACTTAGATGGACGTCAATCAAATGGGCCTGGACTCTTGGACTCTTAGCAAAAGTAAAGTCTTTCTTGTAAAATTCTTATTTCTAAAATGTCCCTTTGACTATTTTCCGTTCCTTTATTATTATTAAAATCTGGAATTTAACATTATATATTGGAAAACAAATCAAACGTGTTCGGAAAGTTTACGGTAGGAAATATTTGCTAGATTTAGTATAACAAGAGAAGATGTGAGAAACATGAATAGGAGACATTTTGTAAAAAAAAAAAAGAATGATAATATATAGCAAATAAAATTAAGTAGATAAGTTCATGAAAAATATAGTCAGGGCTCACAGTATTATACAATAAAAAAAATTCTTTGAAATTAATGAAAAAATCAAGAAGTTTGTTCCTAATCATATTAATTTATTTACTAACTTGTAGAACTACAAAATATTTGTTTGTTTGTTTGACACATATTCTTTAAAAAGGCGTACAAATAATAATTAAATCAATTTTTAAAAATCTAATAAGAACATGTGCCTTAACGTTAGCTAAATGCAATTTATGTAACATTTAACAAACGTAGATAAATGAATTCATTTACTAATTGCTTCATCGATAACATGAACCTTATAATCGAGATGTAGGTAGCAGGGTCACAAGGTTTTCTCATTTCAGAAAATGGAACATTTTTATATAAATAATCAGTAAAAAATCAGCGATCACTGTAAGTTACTAAGCTATGAATGAAGCAAGCTTTATACGAACAACGTAAAAAACTGACAAACCCAGTTTTTAGCTACAGGTCTTTATTCCACAAGTCATCCTCAATCGTTCTTTTCATTTGGTCGTCTGGTCCTCCTGGGTTACCCCCTCACTTTTTCAAAGAAAGTAACATGATATCATTCTATAGAAGAGATCAATTCATGTCCATGGGCAAGGTTGTAAACTTTGCATGAAGTCATGCATAAGTGAAAGTAACAAATGCATGATTACGTATCATGGCTAAGCATGTTAGCACTCATGAAAACATTGATAGTCTTTTTTTAATATTCAGCAGGACTGCACGTAGTATAGAAGTCCCCCCCCCCCACTTGGCCTTTATGTGTGTGTTACCAACCCGATTCTTCCCAGGGGTTCGATGGCTTCGTTCTGTCTACGAGTTTAATTTATTCACTACACAAGCTACATATTCTTACAATAAAATATCTTTTCTATACAACTAAGCTACACCTTCAACTGCCATTACTTTCAATACCACACTCTACAATAATAATACGTCATATATCCCTTTCGCGCAATATGTCACAAGATATCAAACATTTAATAACAACATCTCCTGAAATACTCTCCAAACAACACGCAATCACACTATAGATTCAAATCCTTAACAGTGTGCTGCTAGTTTACTTTCCGTTCAAATAATTTTAACTATGTGTTCTGTACCTTTAGCGCTTTTCATGAGTTACTAATGGCAAAAGTGAAGGAACTCCAAAGATGTCACAAACTCAAGCTACTCCACATTGCGTGTTCGTCAATGCTTGTGGCCATGCAAGGCCGAAATTTCAGCAGCATGTCAAGGATAATGATTGCTTTTATCAACGTCACCACCGCTGTCAACCTGTACTGGGTGAAATCGATTGTTATTCTATGACAATGTGTAGATACGAAGATCTACAAAGGCTGTACATGCACGTCATCCCCATACTGAAGCAGCAAGGCGGCTATATCTTTGTGACCTGTTTTCAACGCAAGCCAATGTGCAGTCGATCCATCAATGTTTTTCTTGTTCACATCCGCTCCTTTTTCAACCAACAGCATGACTGTATCTACGTGACCTCTTAATGCTGCATACATTAATGGAGTACTTCCATTATAACTTGCGCGATTTATGTCAGCTCCCTTGTCAATAAGCATTTCGACCGTTTCTATGTGACCTCTGTCTGCCGCATACATTAATGCAGTGCATCCATCATTATTCATTTCATTGACCATTGCACCGTAATCCAAGAGCAATCCTACTGTTTCTGCATATCCATTACTCGATGTCAGTACTAATGCAGTCGAGCCCTTATGATTTTTTTCATTTACGTCAAATCGGAATTCAATCAGAAGTTAAGCTGTTTCTGGATGTCCTTCATTAGCGGCGGCCATTAAACAAGTTCTGCCTTGATTAGTTTTTGCGTCAACATTTGCTCAGCTACTCATAAAAAATTTGACAACACCTCTGTGTCCACGACGCAATTCAAGATGCAAAGCAGCCAAAACATCTATACTTTTATCATTAAAAATCAGCCCCTTTGTGAATGAGCATCGCCACAGTATTAATGTGTCCCCAGTTCGATGCCGTTTTCAGAGGAGTTTCTCCGTGGTTACTTTTCTCTCTGAGATTTACTCAGTTTGTAAAAGTATTTCAACAATGTGAAGCTGTTTGTCCCTTCATAGACGCCAGGAATAACGGACTTTCGCCGTCATCATTTTTTATATTAACATTCGCACTGTGTTTTATCACTACTTCTGTATATCCATTTTATGATGCGTACATGAGAGCAGTTCCACCATTATTATTTTTCTCATTAACATTAGCTCCTATTTCCAACAGAAATCTGGCCACTTCCCAATGGCCTCCATCTGATGTACACATCAAGGTAGTCCATCAGAGACCATTTTTCTCATCAACATTCCTTATATTTTGACAAAGCAAAAGGCCTCCATCAAATGCCAACATTAAAGCTGTTCAACTATTGATGGTTTTCTGATTAATGATCTTCCATGTCTCATCAGTAGCTGCATCATGACCTCCTTCTGAAGCACAAATCAGAGCAGTGTAAGCTTTGTTATTCGCATCATTGACATTTGCTCCGTGTTCAATCAAGTAAGCGACTATTTCTGTATGGCCTTTAACAGATGAAGACATTAACGCTGTCCAGCCAGTAAGCGTTTTCTGATTAACATTTGCTCCTTTGCTTCTCTAGCCAGAGTGAGATAGTTTCCAAATGTCTCATTGCTGACGCATTCGTCAGCGGAGTCAAATCACAGTCGTTCTCCAGGGGAACATCCAGTAGGTAATTAATTAGGAATTTGGCGGTTTTTCTTTGACCTACTTCTAATGTCATCATCAACATCGAACAATTAAATTTAAATATATTATCCATTAAGGTTGGGAAGTCTCTGTACAACTTTGAGTAGATACCGTCAAAATGGATATTTCATCCTCTTTGTTCTTATAATATAAGTTTGATCTACTACTTGTTAACAAAGCTGCAGTTTTAGAATGTCCATGCCGTGTTGCGAATAGAAGAGCTGTATGTCCAAGATTATCTTTCACAGAAATGTCGGCTCCAAAACTAAGCATTATTCCAAGATTTTCCGTGTGGCCATTCTGCGCCGAAAACATGAGTGCTGTCCGGTTGTCGTTATCCGTGGTATTAATGTTAGCTCCATGATTGAGTAGTAAAATAACAGATTGTGTATGTCCATTTTGTGATGCTAGCATTAAAGCAGTGCAACCTGACATGTCTTTTTCATTAACATTTGCACCTTTCTCAATTAACAATGCAACAATGTCACAATTGTCATTCTGAGATGCAAACATTAGAGCAGTGCAACCTAAAGTGTCTTTGTCATTAACATTTGCACCTTTCTCAATTAACAATGCAACAATCTCAAAATGGCCGGCCTGAGATGCAAACATTAGAGCAGTGCAACCTGAATTGTCTTTGTCATTAACATTTGCACCTTTCTCAATTAACAGTAAAACAAGTTTCCTAAGATCACCCTGAGATGCAACGGTCTCTGCTGCACAATCTGAAGGGTCTTGTTCATTGACATTGGCATCTTTCTCAATTTTTACGATATCGTGTTTGTAAATCTGTGATGCAATCATCAGTGCAGTCAGGCCATCGTTATCATATTCATTAACGTCAGCTCCATGTTCAATAAGTAACTTGACAATATCTGTGTGACCATTGAGTACAGATATAATTAGAGAGCTCCATCCTTCATTTTCTTTGTGATTGATGTTACAGCCACTGTTTACTAACAAAGACGCAATATCTCTGTGACCATTTTGAGATGCGAACATCAAAGCTGTCCAACCATCATTGTCTCTTTCATTGACATTGACACCCTTTTGAATCATTAAAGACACAATTCGTGTTTTATTTTCCCTGGATGCAAACAACAAAGCAGTCATCCCATTTTCGTCCTTTATATGTATGTCTGCACCATATATAAGCAGCATGTAGGCCGTGTTGATGTGCCCTTCTCGTGATGCCACCATCAAGGCTGTCCGACCACATGAGTCTTGAGAGTTGACATGAACCTTCTTATTTATGATTATATCCATGACATCTTTAGTACTAATTCCTGCTGCTATGATTAGATCGTTAATTTCAACATCATGATGTTCATGATCACTGCCCTTCCCTTGCCAGTGGTTATGAGCCTCTTCTTCGAAGTCAGTTTGTAAATCATTGATCGGAGTCTTTGTGTCGTCATTCCTTATCACATAATACTTTTCAGAAACATATGCGTTAAGATGAGTTTGTAGTTTTTTCATCGCAAACATTAAAGGAGATCTGCCATCTTTGTCTTTTGTGTTGACATTACTTCCCCTTTCTATCAGCAGATTAATGATCTCATTGTGTTCATGGTCTGCTGCTATCATCAGGGCAGTCCTTCCATTACTATTTGATTTCATAATGTCGGCTCCTTTGTCAATGAGTAATGCAATTATCTCAGTATGTCCATTCTGTGCAGAAAACATAAGTGATGTCCAGTTGACATTATCTGTGGCATTGATATCAGCTCCAGAATCAATAATTAAACGAGCATTTTGTGTATATCCATATTGTGATGCTAGCATTAGTGCACTGAATCCTGACTTGTCTTGACAATTTACATTTGCACCATTCTCAATTAGCAATGCAACAATGTCATAATTGCCACGCTGAGATGCAAACATCAAAGCAGTGCAACCTAAATTGTCTTTGTCGTTAACATTTGCACCTTTCTCAATTAATAAGAGAACAAGTTGCCTAAGATAAACCTGAGATGTAACGTTCCCTGCTGAACAATCTGAATTTTCTTGTTCATTAACATTTGCATCTCTCTCAAATTTTACGATATCGTGTTTGTCAAACTGTGATGCAATCATCAATGCAGTCAGGCCATCGTTATCACATCCATTAACGTCAGCTCCATGTTCAATAAGTAACTTGACAATATCTGTGTGACCATTCAGTACAGATATCATTAGAGAGCTCCATCCTTCATTTTCTTTGTGATTGATGTTACTTCCACTGTTTATTAAAAAAGACGCTATGTCTGTGTGACCATCTTGAGATGCGTACATCAAAGCTGTCCAACCATCATCGTCTGTGACATTGACACATGCCCCACTTTCTATAAGTATTTGCAAGTTATCATCGTGTTGGCTATTATTTTTTTCTGATATTGAAGCTTTTTTTATTTCGCTGGTTGTTTCTTGAGTTGCTGCCCTTGTTTCTAAAAGCCAAATTACGCTTTCCTTTTGATTACTTACTGTAAAGTACATCAAGGGAGTTAAGCCATTTTTAAACTTGTGGTTGACACTAGCCCCATAATGAAATAACAGTTTTGCTGTTTCTATCTTGTTGAATTGTAAGGCTATTGTCAGTGCTGTCCAGCCTTCGTTGTCAGTACCATTTACATCTATACCATTTTCAAGAAGTAATTTGCAATTTTTTTGTTGTCCAGTAGCTGACGCATACATCAACGATGACCGTCCATTGCTGTCTATGTCATTAACATTTGCTCCATTTTCTAGTAGCACAATAGAAACATCTAAATGTCCATTGTATGATGCGTACATCAACGGTGTTCTGCCAAAATGGTCTTTTTCATGAATATTTGCTCCCTTTTCTAACAGCAAAATGGCTACATGCGGATGACCGTTATAAGCTGCGTAACACAGCGATGTTCTGCCAATAAAGTCATTTTCCTGAATATTAGCTCCCTTTTCTATTAGCTCAATAACTAAATCTGAATTACCATTAAAGGCAGCATTCATAAGAGATGTCTGACCATTGCATTTCCTTTCAATGACAAAAAGATTTTCACTCTCTTCAAATAGCACTGGCTCTTTCTTCTCTGTATCATATCTTGAGATATTTTCAAAATTTCCAGAAACTTCATCACACATTTCGATGTCTATTGTAAAAATGGGTTGAAAGTGTCTGTCGTCCATTTCGAAATAGCCGTATTGTAATTGTGAAAAAGTTTCCTTCGATGCCAGGACTTTGCAAGTATTTTAAACATGCACATTTGTATTGTCAACTTAGATTTAGATAGATCAGCTGCATCAATGATTTTCAGTGATTGTAACTTGATCTGAAATGGTATAAAATGAAATATATAATTATAATCAAATGTTTTTGAGTTTAACATTTAAATAGCTGTGATGAAGTGGGATACACATAAATTGTAGAAGTTATAAGTAGTGTAATAAATGCTGAAATTATTTATAAATTGTAATTTTACGGAATATGAATAGAATTGAAACTATAAAATATCTTTTAACTTGGGATCATATTTCAAGTTAAAATTAACATTTGCTTTATATACAAAAGTAGATATCTCTCACATCATGCACATGAAACAAGAACATACACTACAACTACAAGAATCTTTACACTAAACAGAGACTCACACATCACAGTGTGTACTCATCACACTTTCAAATGCAGTGACTGTCGGGTCATCATCGGTTACATAAAAAAGACCGTTAAGCCGAGGTTTAGGCAATCCCCACAGAGCAGATCACACAAGGCAATCCCCACAGAGCAGATCACACATATACTTGGTAAAAAATACAGTTTTCAAAACATACAGCCCAACAACATATAACTGCAACTCTGCTCACCTGGAGAGCACACAAAACTCTTGTGATTGACAGTTATTTTCGTGGCCATTCCCATTCATGGGGATACTAAATCTTAACTAAACTTAAAATTAAAAAAAAAAAACTCCGTAAGTCTACAAAACTATACAGAACAGACAGTGTCCACAGAACTCATCACACACTTCGCAGACCTGACCTATCCCTACTCTTTTCAGATTTACTACTTGTGAGGTTCTGGACAGCATAGGCAGCGATCACATATCCATTTTCACAGTGTCCTAACAGGCTGCATTAGGTTCTATAAACATTTGAGGCCGTAAAAAGAAAAAGAAAGTTGCCATCAAGTCAGCCAAGAGAAAGTTGCCATCAAGACAGCCAAGAGAAAGTTGCCATCAAGTCAGCCAAGAGAAAGTTGCCATCAAGACAGCCAAGAGAAAATTGCCATCAAGACAGCCAAGAGAAAGTTGCCATCAAGACAGCCAAGAGAAAGTTGCCATCAAGACAGCCAAGAGAAAGTTGCCATCAAGACAGCCAAGAGAAATTTGCCATCAAGACAGCCAAGAGAAAGGTGCCATCAAGACAGCCAAGAGAAAGTTGCCATCAAGACAGACAAGAGAAAGTTGCAATCAAGACAGCCAAGAGAAAGTTGCCATCAAGTCAGCCAAGAGAAAGTTGCCATAAAGACAGCCAAGAGAAAGTTGCCATAAAGACAGCCAAGAGAAAGTTGCAATCAAGACAGCCAAGAGAAAGTTGCCATCAAGACAGCCAAGAGAAAGTTGCCATCAAGACAGCGAAGAGAAAGTTGCCATCAAGACAGCGAAAAGAAAGTTGCCATAAAGACAGCCAGGAGAAAGTTGCCATCAAGACAGCCAAGAGAAATTTGCCATCAAGTCAGCCAAGAGAAAGTTGCCATCAAGACAGCCAAGAGAAAGTTGCCATCAAGACAGCCAAGAGAAAGTTGCCATCAAGACAGCCAAGAGAAAGTTGCCATCAAGACAGCCAAGAGAAAGTTGCCATCAAGACAGCCAAGAGAAAGTTGCCATCAAGACAGCCAAGAGAAAGTTGCCATCAAGACAGCCAAGAGAAAGTTGCCATCAAGACAGCCAAGAGAAAGTTGCCATCAAGACAGCCAAGAGAAAGTTGCCATCAAGACAGCCAAGAGAAAGGTGCCATCAAGACAGCCAAGAGAAAGTTGCCATCAAGACAGACAAGAGAAAGTTGCCATCAAGACAGCCAAGAGAAAGTTGCCATCAAGTCAGCCAAGAGAAAGTTGCCATCAAGACAGCCAAGAGAAAGTTTCCATAAAGACAGCCAAGAGAAAGTTGCCATCAAGACAGCCAAGAGAAAGTTGCCATCAAGACAGCCAAGAGAAAGTTGCCATCAAGACAGCCAAGAGAAAGTTGCCATCAAGACAGCCAAGAGAAAGTTGCCATCAAGTCAGCCAAGAGAAAGTTGCCATCAAGACAGCCAAGAGAAAGTTGCCATCAAGACAGCCAAGAGAAAGTTGCCATCAAGTCAGCCAAGAGAAATAAATAGGCACAGACTACTGCAGTAACCTATCCTATAGAAGACCTAAAGTATAAAGAGAGAGCTCCCTATGCAAGTATTGCCCTTTAGGAAGAAATCTTTACACAGTCTTAGTTCAATATGAAGAAATTGAATTCTCGAATAGCACCAGGCCAAGATAAAATATACAACGAGATGATTTGTGAATTGGGGCCCTTAAATTTAAAAAAAGTCATAATCGATCAATTGGTCAATTAGCCATCCGAAGATTTTTGCCAGCCACCCAAAAACAAAAGCGAAATCAATATGAAGGATTTAAAAACGGAAAACCTGCAGATGATGCTTAAAGAAACAGACTGGTATTGACAAACGTGTAGAAAGAATGATCAACAACCGCTTCAACTGGTTGCAAGAAACAACTAGGACACTCAATAAACAACAACATGGCACACGGATGGTCAACGTTTCCGCCAAAGCCAAAGCGATCTTAAATGGCTTCATAAATGAAAAAACAAAAAAATCCACCTTGGCAGGCCTACAAGAGAGTATGGCGGAAATGTTTACGCTTAAGGTAAACAATAGAGGGATTCGTGGCAAGATGTAAAAATGGAAACAAATGGTTTTGTTTAAGAAAAAGAATAAGGAATTTTATTTAAATTATTTTTAAATAACATTATTTTTTTTCTGGAAAATACATGAATATACTTTAACTAGTATTTAGTTCATAAAAATAAAATAAAAATATATGTCTGTTTTATTTAAAGCTTTGTTCAAGAAAAGAAGAGTCAAGTTTTTGAAAACATTGAGATGGTGGGACAACTCCCATGGAAAGATTCGGTAAACGTTTTTGCATATAATAAATGTATTAAATATATACTAGATATAGCCCGCCAATCATTGGACACAACAATGCGTGAACTTCCCATATACTAAAGTTACTTGACAAAACGCGACCTCAAGTAACGCAGATTTAAGAATCCCAATTTTTGCTACACACTTTCCCCCATGCTACTTTATTTCACGCAAATGAACTATATTAAATACTAGCGAGAACCCGCCATGCGATGCAATGACATTTAAAGAAAACAAGTGTTTGATTTGTAATTACAGTTTGAAGTAATTTTTAAATATAAAATATTTTGTTTGTCTTTTTCGTCTGGTGGGTACAAAAATATATTAGAAGGTTTTTCGACGCTTGAACAGGCAACAAACAGCTGTCCACGTGAGAAGCATGGATTTTCAAAATTTAGTCCACACAATTGTAGCAATTGACCCACCCATGAAGCATCTCTGTTTGAAATTATATATATATATATATATGTAGCTCACATAAAAATTTAAAAAAATAAAGCCCCCGGCCCCAAAGACCATATTGTAAAATAGTTGTACTAATTTAGAAACCTAATTATTATGTCACACAAACTGAAATATTGTGTGTATTTTATTCATTTCCATTCACCCATAGCTTTGTTTGAAATTATCTGTGTATAGCTCCTAATAGAAAAAATAATTAGCGGGCTTTCACACAACAATTTACCAAACTTTTATCTCAATCGGATGAATGGTATAGGAAAGAATACCAAAATTATAATTAGCTCATGATGGTATGACAGAAAAAAAATAATTCAGGGCACTTGGGTACAAAAAGGAATATTGTAAAATTTATGTAATATATATAACAATGAGCTAGAGTCACATAACGCCAAAAGGGAGATATGATTTAAGTACGTTCGGATTCCTAAAAACAATCATAATTATTTTCTATTATTTTACTGAAATCGAAAAAATTTCAATGCGCAAACAATTTTTTAAATCCGCTTTTATTTTAGTAAACATTTAAGTATTATTATTTTAAATTACAAATACATTAAAATTATCAACTAAGGAACTATTTTAAGCATTTTTTTAATGTGCTTAAAAGTTATGAAAAAAAAAAAATAATAAAAAACTTGTTCAAAGAATTACACAGTAATCACATTTATCGGGAAAACCCAAACATCAGTAGTTTTTAGTGCGTCTTTTAGTGCGTTGTTAACATTGCCAAGTAATATTTGAAATTAATTTGTTCTAAATAATCACACTAATGATGTTATAGCGCGAATAGCTTATTTCTACAAAACTCTTAGGTTTCTTTAACTTTAATAATCGCCCGTGACAAAACTGATAATGTATTTTCCCCTCTTAGAAGTAAAATTAATAAATACAATTGATTGCTTTTAAAATTGTTAATAAACTATACATTTATTAAAATTATAACATAATATAACCTATAATATAATTCTAATAAGAAAATGCGGTTTAAGTAAAACAGTGGAGCGCAACTCCAAACAGTGGAGCGCAACTCCATAGCCAAATAGCATTGACTAATCCACCTATAACTAAAGCAAAAAAGAATGAACCATATGAAGTGCAAATTATTTTAGTTTGGGTAGGGAAGGGACTACATTGTTTACAAAATTCTGTCCCTGGCGTACAGCTGCATAGATGGCTCAGCACCAGAATATCTCAAGGAACTGATTTATAAACATGTACCTCTAAAGAGCCTGCGGTCTTCAATACAGTACTTACTGAGTGTTGCTAGAGTGGATAAACACAGAAAAAAGTCTTACGTAGTGCGTTCTTTTGAAACGATAGCGCCAAAATTATGGAACAGTTTACCTAAATCTTTGAGGGGAATTGTAAATGATAAAAAATCGTTTAAGAAAAGATTAAAAACTTTTTTATTTCAATAGATTTCGGAGGATCAGAGCGCAGTGAGCAAGCTAAAGTGGCATGGATAGCAGCGCGATATAAATATCAAATCAATTCAAATAAAATAATCGGGTAGAACATTTTTCTAAATTTATTTAAACCTGGGTGGGTTAGGGGTTAGTTACTTTGCCCCAGGCAGCACAAGGATACGTCTCAAAATAAAGGAATTAATTTGATAAATAATTAACCTTCTTGACGACAAACATTTCGGAGGTAGGGAATAGGATGTGTACATTTTTACATTGATGACAATATAGTTAACTCTTATGGTATTACATATGTGAAAAAAGAGATGTTATTCTCTCTTTTTTACAAATATACGTATGTTTACCAAATAAGAAGATCAATGGCATTAACAAATCTTGGGTACATTTATATAATTATAATCATGAATATCAAAACCCAATCATTTTACACATTTGAAAAATTAATTTTGAAAAATAGAGATGGGTTAATATTTACTTTCAAAAAATTAAAATATATTTTTGTTTTTATTTTGCAAAAAGTAAAGAGATTTGTATTTGATGAGATTAACATAAAAAGCAACAGCACTAAAATCTGTTCTAGACGTGAAAAAGGGTTGTGCGATCCTTCTTTAGATAAAAAAATTGTTTTACGATTTTCTGATAATATATAATTTTTTTTAACAAAGGCAAAAAATATGTTTAAATTTTTGCTGAAGATATCAATATATATCGAATTCCTATAATATAAAATATTATTATTTTTCACATGGTTGTTACTATTCTAATGTCTCTGGTTTTTCATTTTTATTTTACTTTAGCAATTTATAGTTTACATATTTTTAATAATTGTAAAGCGCTTAGAGCTGTAAGGTAAGCGCTAAACAAAAATGCCTAAATAAATAAATAAATAAATATAGAGTTTTTGGTGTAAATTTAAGGCAAGTGTTTTAACAATTTTTAGAGAACATAAGTTGTAATTCAAGGGCACGAAAAGGGGTAAATCTAAAGTATTTCTCTAACGTAGCAATTGTCCCTCAATTAACTTCTTTAGTGACAAAAGTGATATAATTAGTAATAATTTAGACTGTGCATATTAAGGTCATGTTTAGAGGGGGAAAAAAGTAGTTTAGGAGCATGAAAAGGAGTAGGGTACGCCTATAATATATATCAGATAAATACTTCTCAAAACGTAATGATGTTAGAAACGTAAATATCATTACATTTTTAAAGTTATGAATTGTGATGAGTTTTTGCAATAGCAGTTAGAAATTAACGCATAGGATCTACCATTATTATTCCGATAACATCGGTTCATTTATTCTAGTAATTCAGAAAAATTTACGGGCGCATGCGCAACAACTCACAAAAGTTTTATGAATGGTATAGGAGCAACTATTCAAATAAGAGTTCTGTCTATCATCCATTCATCCAATCCATCCATCCATCCATCCGCCCACCTGTCCGTCAATCCATCCATCCATACAACCATCGATCAATCCATCCATCCATCTATCTACCTATCCACATATCTATCTACCTATCTATCTACCTATCTATTCATCTACCTATCTATATATTCATCTACCTATCTATATATTCATCTACCTGTCTGCCTGCCTGCCTGCCTGCCTGCCTGCCTCTCTCTCTCTCTCTCTATCCATCTACCCATCCACCCATCCTAGGACAGTACCAGGTCATGCAAGCAGCGGTAGCACAGAGTTGCAATTTTGTACTCTATGCGAGCACAAACCGGCAGCCAATGCAACCCACTCAGAAGTGTTTTAGAATATATATAAATTTTTGGCATCTGGGAGAATAAGAGGAAGGCAAAGAAAAAGATGGTAGGATAACATCAAAGAGTGGACAGGACTAACACTGGGCAATATAGTGCATAGTGCTGAAGACGAGGGAATGGAGGAGGATCGTTCACATGTCATCTGTGGCGCCCCAACGGTCCAAGGACTAAGGGACATGATGATGATATATATATATATATATTACCCTTAAAATGACAATTAAAAAATATTTTAAGTATATTAAGGGAATTTGAATGTTATGATATTCTTCTTATTATTTTAAATTATCGGCTTAGTATTACAATTAAAAATTCATAATTACATAATTTGTCAGGAAAGCCCCAAAAAATCTGGGTTTTTTTAGTGTCTTTTATTGTATTTGTTGTTCCATTGCTTTGTTAATATTGCGTAATTAAATTTAAATTCATGTAATACACATGACTTCAAACAATATCAAATTAAAATTTACGTTGTTTATTTTCGCATCTACATTTATCTTTTCTTGTGTACGTTAGCTTAAGTCACAGATCTGATATATTTTAACATTCCTTCCTGCAACCGACAACGAACACACACTTCCCTCATAAAGAATTAAAATGATTGGTGATCCATTCAAAATTTAATTTTTAAAAATTCTATTTAAATTTAATATAGAGTTATTATTTGTCACCTTTCTTTTAAACATACAGCTGCTTCCTAATGTACTCGGCTGTTTTAGTCGAGCTTCTTTGAATGAACCGTTGGATTCTCTTCTGCTGTTGGTGGATGCTGGTTGCACCCGCTACCTTGATTTTGCCTCCATCAGTAGCCAAATAAGTCACATCCTTTATGTGATAATGGTGATGGTGAATGTTGATCTCTTGATTTGAACAGGCTTGGCTGTATACATAAATGATTATAATATAATTTCTGTCATAAAATTTTAATAAAGAAAATTTTAGTTTATATTTTAAAAAAAAAACTGTATTCGTATGACCATGACGAGCATTAAGTTAGATTATATTTAGTTTTAATAATTAACTCGTACAACTTTTGAGTGTTTAGTATAATTGGTAGTCTAGTTAGTAAGCGTATCCTAGGAGGAGGCCAACACTGGGTAAAAAATAAGACCAATCAACTAATTTGGAATACAAAAGCAGAATTTTGGAGGGAATTGAATAAGCTACCATAAAAATAAGTTTGTCTTACAGTCTTATGAAATGCATTCTGAACGTTATTTATTTCTTTGGGCATTTTATTGTCTAAAATCAAATTTGTTGGGGTTTTCTATTAATAGTTTGACCTACTTTAAAATCCGAGGGAAAGATCAGGTCTTTGAATTTGTGAGGTAACCTATAATTACTGTATTGACTTTAAATACAGAATTTAAATTATAAATATGCCATTTCATATGATGTATTCCAGTACTTTTAATTCATATGACTTTTATTATAATTTAAGGAGAAAGAAAGTGAGCTACTCTTCTATAACTCAAAAAAAAAAGAAATTTGATAAGAGCGAAAGCGATACTTAATGCTTATGCACATTTTAAAAATTTTACAGTTGTTGCCCTTATTTTTTTCTGTGATTAAATTAAGACTAACTTAAGTTTCAGTAAATAAAATGAATACTAACCCTTCATTATTTTGCAACAAACTATTTTTTCTCTTTAATTTGTCATCTGAAGCATTTATAGCCATGATGGTGTCCTGCAAAATAACGTTATCATGTATTCTACGTACAGCAGCTAGTAACTCGTTATCAAACCTATGTAGATACATGCAGCATCCTTCATTTTTTACCAAGACGTGGCTCGTCTCTGTTTCTGTATGTAGCTCCCCAGCGTCTGTCAGCTCAGATCTCACCACGTTCAGCAGTGCGGAGATTCCTGTTCTCTGTACACAATTAACACTGGCACCTCTATGAATTAATAAATGAACAGTGTTTAAATGTCTGTTTCTTAATGCAAAGATCAAAGCACATGACAAAGTCTTCTGTTGCTCAGTGTCATTTTTGTCTTGATTAATCATAAACTCTACAACATTGGTATGTCCAAAATGAGAAGCTACAACTAAAGCTGTCAAACCGATTCTATTTCTTTCCTTCACATCTGCTCCATGATCTACAAGTACTTGAACTGCATTCAAATGACCATTCCGAGAGGCAATCATTAACGCCGTAAGGTCATCAACATTTTTAGCATCAACTATTGCTCCATTTTTGACAAGGAATTGAACGATATCGGAATGACCATTCTGTGAAGCTTTCATCAAAGCTGTCCAACCAAATACATTTTTCTTGTTTACTTTTGCCCCCTGTCCAACAAGTAGTTCCGAAATCTGTCCAAGTCCATTTTCTGCCGCAATAATTAAAGCTGTCGATAAATACAGATTTTTTTCATTGACATTAGCTCCACGTGAAATAAGAGTTTGAGCAGATGAAGTTCTTTTGTTGAGTAAAGCTATCATGAGATTCGTCCACCCATCAATGATTTTCTCATTGACGTTCGCTCCATTGTCAAGTAGCTTCTTTATGACGTCATCATGACCATATTGCGATGCTATCGCCAATGCAGTCCACCCGATCTTATTTTTCACATCGACCTCTGCATTAGATTTAAGTAAAAGTTCAACCTGCTCATGATTTCCCAGTTCAGATGCAATCATCAAGGGCGTCCATCCGTCGTTGTCCTTTGTATTTACATCTGCTTGATGATGAATAAGTTCTGTAGCGATTGACATATTGTGCAGAGATCATTACATCGTCATATCACCTTTCACTGCATCATCTCTGAAAAAAAAAGATTAATATTGAAAAATGTGTTAAAATTATTTTTACTGAAACAGTTTTCATGATTTAATGCTTTATTTTGGGTTCAAGGAAAAACGTGATGAGTGGACCTAGTGTAAAATAAATGCCTTCAAGATTCTTTTCACTTTTTTCCACAGGAACAAATATAAATAACGTTTTTATGGCATGTCGAGTGAACATTTTCTAGAAATTTGGAGTTATTTTTCACTCAAATCAATTCCACAATTTCCATTTTTAGTCGGTGTACGGGGTCCTATATTATATTATTTTAAAACTAACACAGACTCTAGATATAAAGAGCACATCATTTAAATTTGGTTTAATAATATAGCAAAATTCAATGTAGGACACTTTTTGCTGAAGTTTTGACATTTAATCATACATCAAGAATCTCCATAAAATAGGGTGATTTAGTTATCCCTAAGATAGGTACACTAACAAAATCATTCAAATAAAAATATTCAAGTTAATTTTTCAAATTCATCCCATTACAATTTAAAGGAACTAGCTAATAAATGTTGCTGTTTAATTTTTTACTATTTGGGCCCTGGGCTTCAAGAGGACTTAATCATTAATGCTTTATAGCAGTGAGTAGTATAGTTTGGATAACGAACATACCTTTTTTTAAAAAACAAGTGTCCTTAAATTTCAGCTGCAAATACCTAAGATGAAGCATTTTATTTAAAATAACAAGTCGACCCCCTCCATACAACTTTTACAAAAAAATGTGCATATTATTATTTGAAGAGCACCGATATTAAAAAAGGCATTATGAAAGTTATGTTTACCAAGTTTGATAATGATGTAACAATTGACTAGAAGCTTGCATTTTAACGGAAGCCTTCTTGTATAACTGTGGATATCATAAGTAAAATAAATTCTATATATTTAACACCCATTTGTAATTCTGATGTCCTATTTTTTTTTTAAAACATAGAATAAAGATTGATTTTTTTAAAATATGCAAGCACCAAACAAAAGAGCACCGATAAATTCCTTGAATAGATTTTTGAAAGCGGGCAATTCTAAATAAAGGCTTTTTGAAAAATGCGCACGCCAAAAATAACTTAACTTAAACATCCCTGGTAGCCATTCAGTATGAAAATAACATTTATTTTTTCACCCTTTGCATTTTACGTATTTTTACATTTTAGCTTTTGGGATAAGGAGATTAAGACCAAACTTTCCAGGAACCATCTGTATGTCAGGAGGAATGGCTTTGTCAAATTTAGTTGAGATCAATCGTTAGGCTTCCTTGTGATTGATCGACTCATTTACTTATATAATCTCATTGAGCTTTATATCTTAGATGTGTGCATCAAACAAATTTGAAATGCGATTGATGGATGTTATTCAGATTTTCCTGCATGATGATTATTTGATACCAGATTTACCAAGCTTCCCGAAATCCTACAAATCATAAGTTTTTCGATTTGTAAATTAATTTTTTGGCACTAATTTTAGGAAAATTCATCAAATTTTTTAAAAAATAATTGATTTTTGTTCTTTTTGTTTTATCTTTGTGTAAGATGAAATGTGTTTAATTAAATAAAAAATGTTTGATTTTTAATTTACCATCATGTCATTTATTTGTATTTTATCTAAAGAATTTATAGTATTTTGCAAATCCAAAAACTTTCTGATTTTTTAAATTTTTTTTACTGCTTCAATTTTAAATAGATTAATTAATAACAGACATATACATATTTCTTGCCATTTGTAAATATATCCTTTCTTCTCTGGGTAAGTGTGCCATTTCTATAACATTTATTATATAATATTCAGTTTTTTATAGCCATAAAATCAAAAGACCTTTTCTACAAAACAGCATAGTGGTTGCGACGATGAAGTCAGAACTGACTCCGTGCAACATTAAGCCAAATTTTGGCGCAGAAATATGTCATTCCTCCTTCCTGGCCGACAGAAATTTCCCCCCCCCCCTTTTTGATAAAATTTCGGAAAGGGAACACTGGTGAAGCCTAGTCAACCCAGAGCCACATATGCTCTAGTCTGACGTTTTTTTCACATTTCTTAAAAATCTTAAGGTGATTTTTTAAAATAATTAATTAACTGATCTGAAATAGCTCTGATCTGATCAGTTAAATATATTAACTTGTTCATCTTTGACTCAGCTATCATTAGATATTTTTTGTATATTTTATTTTCTTAGTTATTAAAAATAATTCAAACATTATTGGAGAATTATTTCTTTTCAATTTATGCAAAGTTTTGACAAAGTTTTCACACAGTATGAAGGAAAAAAAAAATCCCTGTTATAAAAGATTTAAAATTTATTTAAATAAAATACTTCATCATCTAATACAATTCATAGTCAAACATGACAAAAATTCTATGAACAATCAAAAAGTTGTCAACATTTTAGCCAGACCTATATTTTGTCTTTTTTTCCTAAAAAAATGCTCTATAATTTTTCTTTTAATTAAAATTATGTTTTGTATGAAATATATTTTAAAAAATGGGCCTCATAGCTTTTAGATTTGTATATTAAATATATTTCTTAATAATTCTTGAGTAAAAGATAACTAAGTAAACTTTAATGAATATATAAATAGCTCAAAACAAGAGTCAATGGTTTTTTTCTTTTATTTTAAAATAGCGGTATTCGCTGACGTTAAAGTTTTAAAAAAATTAAATGTTTCAGTACAATAATGCTAATTTGATATTAATGTCAAATACAATCCATTCCTCACTAATGTGATCTATTTTTTCCCATGTACCGGCATTTTTATATATCTTTGTTATAATCATCACATAACACAGGCTGATAAACACAGTATTCCTTAATTATATTTATGGACTCTGAACAAATATTATTTCTTAAAACAGTCTGCAGTTTTATTATAATAATTATATTTGATAAATAAGAGCTTGTCCTGGACTTGATTTCTACATAAGATTAGGTAAGATTTTTCACTACTACAGAATATTCACTCAATAAAGAACCTGTGAAAAAAAAATTTGATTGATTCATAAATAAATTAACACTAATGACTAATGGTATCAGTAATTGTATGCTATCAGTAAAGGAAAATACCATTAATCCTAGTCCAAATGCCTAAATTAGTATAAAAGTAAACCATTGTACATAGAAAATACATTATAACATATGTTGTAACAATAATGTGAGTTTATTCTGTATGCATTTTGCTACAAAGTGATTAGATTAAAACTTACCACCACTTGTTTTAATTTTAAGGGTAAAATCTTCAAAGATATTCATCCAGTAACTCTGTAACTCAGTAAAAGGGTGGAGTCCAGGCTAAATATTTAGGATCAATAAGGAATAACTGCTTCTTGATCCAATACCTGCATTTTTGTCGCTCTCTCCTCCTTCCCATTAGAGTTAGAGAGCTTTTAATAAAAACGTAATTTTTTTTTTTTATTCTGCCGACAGTAGTCTCTACTAATACTAGTGACTAGCGATAATGATAATTAAATTTTAAACACATTTCTACTATGCAATATTAGAAAATTTAGAAGATTATTCTTGGCTGTACCATATTTTAAAGAAATATATTTAGATCTAGTTAATATTTAATAACTCAGAAGTCCTTAACTTTAAATTTATTAATTGGAAGTCACTTAGTCAATTATTTTGTCACATGATGTGAGTAAAAACGAGTAAGATTTCCGGTATATTGTATACAACACACTAGTGCTTGACAACAGTAGCCCGATACACACTACAACTACACTACATTTCGTCCAATGAAAATTAACAATAAAATAAACAAAGGGGAATGACTCCTGCATCAATATTGAATAAAAACGCAAATGACGTCATGAGCACGCACGGAGCTCAACAACATCCTGCCGATAATAGTATTGATAGTTCCCATCGAATATTGTTCACAAATTTTTCTTGAAATAACTTTCTTCCTTTAATTATAACTGACGTATATTTATTGTCACAATTATTTATTTCATTTAAAAAAAACGCGTGCATTCCATAATATTACGAAAGGTAAAATTTTTAATTAACATGACATTGGGGAAGCACTGATGAAGTATCTTTTGTTGTGTGTATCAGCCTAGTGATGGCTTACTCACATCACGTGACCAAACAAGGAAGTGACTAAGCGACTCCCAAGTTTCAATCGGCCGAAATTTTCCGCTATTTTTTTTAAATATTTATTTCGCATAGCGACGCTATTTATTTATTTATAATTACTGAAACTCAATAAAATTCAAATAGAATATATCAATATAAGTATAAATGGATAATATATACTTCAGCCAATTAAAATTATTATAAAAATATCACTTCATTGTTTTATTATTAATTTTACAGTCGGGAAATCAAAATTAAAATTAAGCTTACTTGTTTACGATAGCATTAGTCGGTACTTTTATATGCAAATCGTGATAAATTTCATGATTAGAGTCTCCATTTGGATACATTACTTTAGACAAACAAATAACTCCTTGATAAATCGGGAAATTAAAATCATTTGAATTTGACAATATCCATACTACTATTTAATTTTCTTTGTGAGACTTATATTTTTTTGTTTTTTTTTAAATCTGCGAAGCTTTCAAGGGATACTCCGAGCTGAATAAGTTTCCAAAAATTTTTTTTTTTAAATAGTAATTTCAAATTTTGTAATAATTTTAATTTTTTTACAAATACTTAAGCCAATGAAACAACTTATTAAAATATAATAAATAATTTTTTTTCAATTAAAAAAAAAAAGTTAAAAAATAAATAAACCACCCACAAAATCTATGGTACTTATTATAAGTACTGCAGAGAGTTAAGTTAGGATAGAATTTAAGGCCTCAGTGCATGACTTTACCAGTACCTTTACCGACCAATGCTACGGTTATTTTACGATTTATGCTATAGATAACTAGGTCACAGTGTAACAGTTGTACTCGACTCGCTGAAAATGTCTAACGCCTAACGTATCGCTATAAAATGATAATTTACCATAAAGTCAATACTCTCAAGCATTGAGATTGTGTGTACGTGGTACATTGATCACGCTTTCGTATTACCTTTGTAGCATTTGGTCTTATCGCCTTTGAAATTTGGCATAACAGGGTCACTCATTTATAGTTTTAAAAATGTTGTAAAGAGTGTGTGTCCGACGGTAACAGGGAAGGCAACGTTCCTTCCTTGTTTTTAAGATGTGATAATTTTTTACAAATCATTTTCCACTTTAGATTTACTGTTCAACTCTGCACCACCATTTATATCGGGGCTGCAAATGATACACTGTTTACAAATATATAACTTTCTAATCTATCAAAATCAATTTAAACAACAAACAAACACATATTTGATGCTTGTTAATGTAACGATGCTTAACTGACCTATTAATGTATTTCTTTTCTTAAGTTATTATTACTTAAGTTGTTGTATATTTAAAAAAAAAAACACCAAATATCGCAGGCCTATACTTATAATGTTATTTTAAACAAGCCTCACCTTTCAAGCTGAATTGCAAACTCATATCGTTTATGTCTTGGAGTCGTGTAACAACGAACACACTCAAATGTACGACATGGCCTTACTTTCTACACTAGATAACACACACCACGAAATCTCATTAATTGCAGCGTGTAAGGCCGATTGTATTCCTTCCCGCTTTACTATGGCCTACAAAAAGAAGAGCTGGTGGCCTAGTTACACCAGGATGTGTCGTGAAAGCTATGGAAATCAAGTGAAGCCTGTGGAAACACTCTAGTTTAAAAAAAAAAATGTTAGCAGTGCTATGAGAAATAATGGTCTTCGCACAGAAAATCTCCCGATGTTGTTTTGTGTAAGTGCTTATTCCAACTTAAGTCATACATTCGTCTGGTCTTATTTGGTAAACTGGCAACAATTTTATTTTGAATATGTAATATTTGTTTTCGCTTTTATATCGATATCAAAGGGTGGCATTTTCGGCCAATTGAAGATAATTTTTTTGTTTTTGTGGGGGAGCGCTTCAAAAATCTCGTTAAGTCCTTGAATGGCACTAACCCTATTTACGCCATGGCCGATCGCTGTTCGGATCTTTGACGAATCGCCATCGCCGCTGTTTTGCCGCCACCAATTTCCGTCACCTTTTTTCGCAAAACGTTTTTCCGCAAAAGATAACAAATTAACAATGATGTTAATTCTAAGTTAATAGATTAAATACACAGGGAAGTCATTTGGGTTGGGCAGGGTGAGCATACGAAGTATTTGGGTAGGGCAGGGTGAGCATACGAAGTATTTGGGTAGGGCAGGGTGAGCATACGAAGTCATTTGGGTAGGGCAGGGTGAGCATACGAAGTATTTGGGTAGGGCAGGGTGAGCATACGAAGTATTTGGGTAGGGCAGGGTGAGCATTTACCAACCACCCTGAATGTGCAGGCTTTTAAACATTTTCTATTTCCTGTGACGCCTTCAGTAATAAACAACTTAACAATCCGACCAAGTTTTCCACCTGGAAAAAAAAAACTGTACTGACGCCCCTGATTTAAATATGTTAAATTGTAACGATGCTAAATTGTGTTTGTCGTTTATTTGTTTGTTTGTTCCGCATAAGCTCCTGCGTGGATTTCTGGTTTTTATATACCCGATTTATGGGAATAATTGTTTATATTTTTTTTAAAGTGCATACCCCTTTTTTCCCTTGGACAAATGCACCTCGACAAATGTAAACGTGATGCGATTTTTAAACCAAATTGTCACGTCATAGGGTTGCTCCAATGTACGCTGTGAGATCCCCTGTATGTTGCGAGTGGATGACCTGAACACAGATACCCTAATTAATCAACAAATACATTGCTGGGCTTAAATCTTCATACATGTGACACCAAACTTAAAAGATAGGGTCACAACACAACCGACCCACATATAGCAAAGAGGTAACAAGCATCCGAAGTTCCTCTGTTAACCAGCTGTAACGTTTTGCTAATATTGTAATTTTCTTTGATTGCACATGCACTCGTTGCCCTGTATATTTATTTACAATAATGATGCTTTTTTTTTTTAAATCGTCACTTTAAATAGTAAATTATCTTTAGATATTTTGATTTACTTTGAGAATAATTAATTTCTTAAAATTGTTAAAATTGTATTTCCTTGGGCACATAAAAACAAGACAGTGTATGAACAATTGGAGCAAGTCGTGGTAAGATCACCTAAGCGTTATATAGCTGGTGGCAGATGTAAACAATTCCGCCAATCTTCCCCGCTCCTCCCAGAATGAAAGTCCTATTCGGGTTGGGCATGTGATAACAAAAACAACGGTTTTGAGCTTCACTGTTTGGCATGAATCACGTAGGTCTACAGTAAATCCGAAATCCCTAACGTACACATTCGTCAAATATTTTGACTGAATTCCTCTAGTCCCTCTACAACTTTATTTGAAAAGCAATTTAACCGTTCCCGTTCCTTCGCGACACAAATGATTGCATACCATTAAAACACCTTGACTAGTGTGGCGTAATAAAGGTTAACCGATATTTGTGATACATCTTGTCAGCTGGTAATGTTTTACTGTATCAGGGGCCTGTATTACGTGTTGTTATGTGAGAGAATAAGTTTATTTCCCCTTTAAGCACGATGTTAAATCAGTTTCTTTGGACTAGCCATGGGCTTTTAAACAATACCGTAAATTTGTACAGATTTCATGAAGCTTAATTTGATTTTTTTTTTTTGATGTGCATTTGAGTAAATGCTATGTTTCGGTAGGAGTTCTGTTAATATAATTTAGTGATCGGAGTTACCACTTTTAAAATCGTTTTTATTAACTCGCTTTTGTTCATGTGTTGCTTTGTTTCCCGGTGGCGAAATCTTCGTAATGCTTTTGACCCACTTTCCTTCATCCTATCGCAAATAGACTTGTTGTCGATGACAACACTCTCTATTACATTTTAGGCACAACCCCTCCCCTCATTACAAAATCTGTTTGTCTTGATTTTCAAGGAAGGGAGGAATATTAATGATTTAATGTGTAGCTGTTGCTATGTGGTTTGTTAGGGACGTATTTGGGTATGCTGTAAAAAATGTATTTTTAATGGAAAATATTCAACGTGTTTTCGCCAGAAGTTGAACCATTGACATAACCGCGTGTTAATAAATGATAAATCACATACAATTACATAAATTAAAACAAAAATGCATATTAAGGAAAAGAAACAAGGACACACGAGACGCAAAGTGCAAATAAGAGACAACTATATTTATATTAATAAACTGTTTCCTTGTTTGTATGTCGTATATTCCGTATGCGGTCTTTTAGCCTTCATTTGATTGCGAGCAAACGTTGATGAGTTGTTGCCCACGCGATGGCAAAATTTTCCGAATTGATGCAATCATTTTAAATTTTCAGTTTTTGGCGGGGGGGCTCTAAATTCCTTTTTTAAAATGAGCTATATAATTTACGTATGCTTTCCTACACCATTCATCCAATGGCGATACAAATTTGGTGAGTTGTGCGCACACCCAAAATGGTCTTCTTCATTGAAGAAATGGTGATGTTAAGCGAGTCTCAGAAACTCATCGCTCATAAGACGGATTGAAATATCCATTTGTTTTTTTTTTTTGGCAAGGAGAAGATGGATATCATTTCTACATCTAATTGAGATATCAACAAACAGGTGAGGACAAGTATAAGAAAGTTAGGGCCATGAATTACTATTTATATGGAATGATAATTAGTAAAAACGCTGAAAATTCTATCTTGAAATGTCGACAATTGTTCCATCAATACATTGTCGATATGTATGCGAAATTTGAAACCGAACGACTTCTCTATAAGCGATTATATCAAACCAAAGTTAGTTTCCGAATAGTACATTCATTTACGTGTTGCTGTTGTTAATGATGGCAATGTGAATACAATGAATTTGGAAAAATGGCCACATTTACAGGGGGTCCACGGCACATGCATGAATCCGCACAATTCAGATGGAATACAAATATTTTTGTTAACTGAACAATCATAATCGGATATTCATGATATTTCTGCGCGTGTTTAAAAAAAAATTGAAATCTTTAATAGATTTCCTTTTCAAGCATCGCTTTTTTTTTGAGAGACACCTTGTAGGATGTATTCTATTAAAGAGCAAAAAAGAGCATTGCCACTTGCAAACATTTTAATTTGGTTGAAGGAAAAACTCCCACCAGATAAATTTGATTCATCTCAGAAAATATGCCAGATGTCGACATTGATCAATACTTATTTAAAGTCGACACCAAAAAAACAAAAAATCATTCATGATCTATGGGGCCTACTCAAAAAAATTCACCTTCATTTCTGATGGCAAATGCACGAAACGATACCAAAGAGGCTTATTTATGGAGGCTATCACTGGCAATGATTGATATTCACACTGACGTCATTAATCAACTGAAGAATGGTGGAAAAAACATCACATTAACACTGCAAAACAACGGTGTTAAAGTTGAAAATACTTCGGTTGTACCGTATTCCCCATTACACTCGGAAACGTAAAAATCACACATCATTGTTGAGTATTGTGTTATGTAGCACACATTCCCCGTGCGTGAACTATCTTTGATTCCACATTAAACTACTAGCAGACGGTAACGTTTGTTGTGGGCGTGGTTAAATCTCTTTGATGTATCTTGTTTACAACCGTGTTTACCAATTAAATATGTTTAGAGTGTCTCCTAGTATCTTGTCGAATGTTCTCGATAACCCGAGAAATGTAAAAAACACGTCATAATTCTTTTCTGGAAGCGTCTTACGCTACATGTATTTAAGGGAGTGACAGATACGGAGAGACGGAGATTCAGATAGATAGTTTGAGCTTCACGAGACCCGTATTATTCTTTGTGTATTTATATGTGTTTATTCGCATTCGTTATTCATCATTATTCATTGACACATTGTACTATCTGTGTTAACTGTGTTCCGGTACAAGAGCTACCATACTGTTAGTTGATGATTGTCATTATATTTTCTTTTCTTTTGTAATTATATTAAGACTTAAATAAATCTTATTAATTGTAACTAGCAACTGTTTTGGGTGTCCTATCTTTAATATTGTTGACTCTATGGTATCGTCCTTTGTTAGGCACTGTTTACAACAAGCCAATACAATTAAAATATGAGATTAATTTCTCACAAGAGAAGCCAGTGCCTAACAATTGCAATTCGATGAAATCGATCACGTACATTTGTAAATATTTTAACAAAGGAGCCATATGGCAGTTTTTGGAGTGGGAAATGCAACTGCATCCATCCATAAAATCTACTAATAACAACTGGATCACTACATTAGCAGCAAAGAAGCATTATTGTGCAACTTATAATTTTCAATAAATGATCGACATCCAACAGTTGTTCATTTTTGCAATGCTCATTAAAGGTGGATAGCGTGCGCGTACCTCAAAGCAGAAAATGCACATATAAGAGCTGTGTCACCACAGCCAACAACGTTAACTGATTTCTCGGATATATATGTGTGTAAAGTCGTTACTTTAAACTTGAACTGCCAACATACTACACATGGAATGCGTTAGCAAACAAACTTTTAACGTCACAAACAAGGAAGTGCAGATAAAGGGCATCAAATTATATTCGACCGACGCCATAGGTCGTCTGTACACTGTTCACCCAGGTAGGTCGTCTGTACACTGTTCACCCAGGTAGGTCGTCTGTACACTGTTCACCCAGGTAGGTCGTCTGTACACTGTTCACCCAGGTAGGTCGTCTGTACACTGTTCACCCAGGTAGGTCGTCTGTACACTGTTCACCCAGGTAGGTCGTCTGTACACTGTTCACCCAGGTAGGTCGTCTGTACACTGTTCACCCAAACAGTGCAGAATGCTTTTTTTTTTTTTTGTTGCGATTTCTTTTAATCAACGCATGTGAAACATAGTCCACGTACCGACATCCTTCAAAGAATTTCCAACAGTAAATGGTCAAGTATGGGCCGCTTATCTTGCCAAGAATTAAATCTTCGGGAAAACGATTCACATTAAAATAGTTCACTAACTGATGCATCGAATACTGCTTACCAACAGCTAATATGCAGATTACTTGAAATCATATTGGGAATATGCTTCCCATCGAATTCAAAAGATATGTGCGAAAAATACAAAGACTACATGATTGAAAACATCCTACATCATAAGCGTGCAACGAATCGAAATCTGGACATTTCATTAACCCCAAACGTTTATAAAGAGGCATTGGTTTTGCTTGAGGACATAAGTTTTGCAATCACTAACAAGGCCCTGGAAATTTGGAAAAAGACTTTTGTCATTCAATCTTCAAACAACATTTCTCATCATGATTTGCAGCGACAATCACACTTTTTATGTCGAAAAATAGGTATATTCATTCAAACATATCTCACGGCAAATGTTCCAGATCAACGCGTGGCGCACCATATAATTATACATGCATTTACAAGCGAAAGCGGCGGAGGGCATTATCATTTATTGAATGAATTTACTATGGCGCACTAAAAAGCTTTGGGAGCGCTTCATCGTACACTAAAACTTTTGGGAGCCATTGAACATTTCTTCGGTGGTGCAATTATTTTATTGTATTGGGATTTTCAGCAAAATCTTTCAGTTATACCACGTTCATCAGAAGCTTATGAATAAATGTATGTGTCGAATCATCAGTTTTATGGCGAAACGGACAGAAATTGATTTTGAAGACAAATATAACACCATTGTTGGACATTGTGAAAGGGAAAATGACAATCGATGAATCCACACAATGTTTCACATTGCAAAGAAAACTTCAGTAAAATCACTGCAACCACTAACGAATCGATTCACAACGTTTCTCAAATATCGCACACAATTACAAAAACTCATCAGTGTCTCAGTGCACGTGCTATATTAGTAGCAGAAAACAACGATGTTAGTGCCATTAGCTTCAGCATTCAAAATGAAATCCCAGGTGTAGCGACCACGTATAAGTCCATCGATACTGCAAGACGGCGTTGTCAATTATCCAATGGATTTCTTGAATTCTCCTGATTTTCAAGGCATGTCGACGCACGCTTTAAAAGAAGGAGCTCTTCTTACACACACAAAAATCACATCAACTATTAATGACATTTGCTGGATCAGCGTCCTATTTAGATAGTGAAATATAAATCTGCTGACCCCATAATTGAGTAACTTGATGGAGCTCACTGCCTGATAGAGTTCATTCATACATTAAACCTAATAGAGATTTCACCACGTTATCTGTCTCTGAAAGTTCTTATTTAAACATGTTGTTACGCAATCTGATATCCTCCCAAAATTTGGTAACTGCACCAGGCTACAGATTAAAGCCTTACTTGGAAATTTCATTGACGGAACCATCTTCACGGTCAGTGATGTGGCAGACTTAGTTTGAATACCGCGAATTTCTAAGGGCGGTCGTTTAAAAGGCCCTGGATGGGATTAAGGAACATCTTATTCCCAAAATTTTTTTTTTTTTTAAAGGTAAGCTTAATTAACTGCTGCATGGTTACAAACCGTACCGAAAAGATTTTGAAATAGCAATGAAAAAAGTTTAGGGCCGTGATCAATGTGCCAGATAACTTGCAGTCGTGATATAGGGGGTCTATTTAACAGCCCAAGCAATAGCAATTCGACATTATGCTTTGGTAATTCGTGGATCATGATTTCAAAAAGTGAGAAATGATTCTTTACAGCAGACACAAATTTCATGCGGATTTACAAAACGCATCGTGCTTCCGGTGACCTCAACTACCCTCCTTTTATGTCCTTCCATGGAGATGATTGTTACTGCATCAGTATCCAAAAGCTTGAACTTCTTCTTCTATATATTAAGGGCCCACGATCAATTTATTAATCATTTTGGCTCCTATGCACACAGAGGGGATTTGCAATGTTTCTGTGCCTGGTGTTGATGAGGATATATCACTGTTTGCCATCGCTTCTTAGTGAAGGTATCATGTACTGGGCATTGGAAGTCCTGAGGCAGAAGACGCAAATGTGTCTAATGTTGTCGCCTCAACATATCCTTTTGAAATCTTGTTCCAGTCCTTGATTGTCTTGGGCAGGAATGAGTAGTTCTTATACTGGCTTCTTGCTGGTATGAGCCGGAATTGCCTTTCAATTCCAAAGCCCTCCCATAGAAATCAATATTTTCATTAGACTTCTACTCTTATCAAAACACGGAAAGACAAGATTTAAAAAAAAAAGAATTACATCCTACTTTATTTGTGATGCAGTAAAACTTGGTAGCTGAAGCACGGGTATTCAGTTAGGTGTGTACTCTTCTATAATATTATCGGCATATTTTTTTTTATCTTCAATAAAGTTTTTATTTAAACAAAGAAGCAATGGAAAAAAAAATAGTAAACGATCTTTGAAAAATGTAGGAATGATTTAGTCATTTGAAAGATGTCAGTGCAGATAAAATGACACTTCACATAAAGACTTTGATATTGCATTTTAACACATCCCATGCGTCACCTTTAATCATTCAGTGAAATAGACGTTAAAACATTTTTTGACAATGTCACCGAAATTGTCTATTAAGATTATAGGGTGTGAACTTATTTTACCCTCCGCATTCATAATTTTTTATGGTGCGATGATCAGTAAAACGTTCCAGATATTAAAAAAAAAAATTACATTCAAATCGTTTTAAGAGTGCAACTAAAATGCAATTTACAAATCACTGCAAAATCAGTCGCCCCATTGACAAGTCGATAAGTGTTGATAACATTAAAACCAAACTAATTTTTTAAGCATCTTTTTAAAATTCAAAACGATGTACTAGACGGAACATAAAATATTCCATTGTCATTTGTAAGGATTTAGAGACCATGTTAAGTAGTAGTATTTTAATTTCAAATGTCTTTTCTTTTGGTCATTTCTGGGGAAAATATACTTTGATGTCTAGCCTAGATAATCTTAAAAGGCAAAGGCAAGCAGTTTTGAAATCTGAAAATATAAAGATGTAGACAAGAAACACTTTATTTCTAAAGCAAGTTCAAGTCCAGCGCTTACCACTCAAATTAGCAAATACTGACCTCATACCACTTAATTAGCACTTACCACTCCAATAAGAACATACCATTCAAATTAACACTTACAGCTCAAATAAGCATATTCTTTAAAAATGGCGTAAACATAATAATTAAATCAATTAAAACATATAGTAACAACATTTGTATTAACGTTAGCGAATTCCAATTTATTTAACATTTAACAAACATAAATATATGCATTCATTCACTAATGGCTTCATCGATAACAGGAACTTCAGATCGAGATGTAGGTAGCAGGGTCGCAAGGTTTTCTTATTTCAGAAAATGGAACATTTTTATATAAATAATCAGTAAAAAATCAGCGACCACTGTACGTTACTAAACTATGAATAAAGCAAGCTTTATACGAGCAACGTAAAAACTTAACAAACCCAGTTGATAGCTACAGGTCTTTATTCCACAAGTCACCCTCCATTGTTCTTTGCATTTGGTCTTCTGGTCCTCCTGGGTTACCACCCTCCTTTTTTTTTACGGGGTCTTTTTCAAAGAAAGTAATACGATATCATTCTATAGAAAAGATCAATTAATCTCAATGGACAAGGATGTAAACTTTGCCTGAAATCATCCATAAGTAAAAGTAACAAATGCATGATTACGTATCATGGCTAAGCATGTTAGCACTCATGAAATCATATTTTTTTTTATTATTCAGCAGGACTGCACGTAGTAGAGATGCGGTCCACCGTGTTGGCCTTTATGGGTGTGTTACGAACCCGATTCTTCCCAAGGGTTGGATGGCTTCTTTCTTTCTAGGGGTTTAATTTCTTCACTACACAAGCTATATATTCTTACAATAAAATATTTTTTTAATACAAATAAGCTACACCTTCAACTGCCATTACTTTCAAGACCACACTCTACAATAATAATACGTCATATATCCCTTTCACGCAATACGTCACAAGATATCAAACATTTAATAACAACATCTCCTGAAATACTCTCCAAACAACACGCCATCACACTATAGATTCAAATCCTTAACAGTGTGCTGCTAGTTTACTTTCCGTTCAAATAATTTTAACTATGTGTTCTGTACCTTTAGAGCTTTTCATGAGTTACTAATGGCAAAAGTGAAGGAACTCCAAAGATGTCACAAACTTGCGCTACTCCAAATTGCGGGTTCGTCAATGCTTGTGGCCATGCAAGGCAGACATTTCAGCAGCATCACCGGGATAATGATTCCTTTTATCAACGTCCCCACCGCTGTCAACCTGTACTGGGGTGAAATCAATTGTTATTCTATGACAATGTTTAGATACGAAGATCTCAGAAGTCCAAGTGGAAAGGCTTTCCATGAACGTCATCCCCATACTGAAGAAGCAAGGCGGCCATATCTTTGTGACCTGTTTTCATCGCAAGCCAATGTGCAGTCAAGCCATCAAAGTTTTTCTTGCTCACGTCCGCTCCACTCTCAACCAGCAGTACGGCCGTATCTACATGACCTCTTAATGCTGCATACATTAATGGAGTACTTCCGTTAGAACTTGCGCGATTTATGTCAGCTCCCTTGTCAATAAGCATTTCGACCGTTTCTATGTGACCTCTGTCTGCCGCATACATTAATGCAGTGCATCCATCATTATTCATTTCATTGACCATCGCACCGTAATCCAAGAGCAATCCTACTGTTTCTGCATATCCATTTCTCGATGCCAGTATTAATGCAGTCGAGCCCTTAAGATTTTTGTCATTGACGTCACATCCGAATTCAATGAGAAGTTTAGCTGTTTCTAGATGTCCTTCATTAGCGGCGGCCATTAATGAGGTTCTGCCCTTATTAGTTTTTGCGTCAACGTTTGCTCCACTATTAATCAAAAGTTTGACAACATATCCGTGTCCTCGACATGATGCCAGATGCAAAGCAGTCAAACCATCTCGACTTTTATCATTAACATCGGCCCCTTTGTCAATGAGCATCGCCACAGTATTAATGTGTCCCCAGTTCGATGCCAATTACAGAGGAGTTTCTCCATGGTTACTTTTCTTTCGGAGATTTCCTCCGTATGCAATAAGTAGTTCAACAATGTGAAGATGTCCCTTCATAGATGCTAGGAATAACGGACTTTCACCGTCATTATTTGTTATATTGACATTCACTCCAAGTTTTAACAATAGCTCCACTACTTCTGTATATCCATTTTCTGCTGCGTACATGAGAGCAGTTCCACCGTCATTATTTTTCTCATTAATATTAGCTCCTATCTCCAACAGAAATCTGGCCACTTCCCAATGGCCTCCATCTGATGCACACATCAAAGCAGTCCAGCCCAGATCATTTTTCTCATCAACATTTCTTATATTTTGAACAATAAGAGCAGCCGTTTTTAAAAATCCTCCATCAGATGCCAGCATTAAAGCTGTCCAACCATCGATGGTTTTCTGATTAACGTCTCCCCCATGTCTCATCAGCAGCTGAACCGTCTCATCATGACCTCCTTCTGACGCACAAATCAGAGCAGTGTAAGCTTTGTTATTCGCTTCATTGACGTTGGCTCCGTGTGCAATCAAGCGAGCGACTATTTCTGTATGACCTTTATCAGATGAAGCCACCAAAGCTGTCCAGCCATTAGACGTCTTCTGATTAACGCTTGCTCCTTTCTCTATCAAGAGTGAGACAATTTCCAGATGTCCCAATGATGACGCACTCATCAGGGGTGTCATACCAAAATCGTTCTCCTGGTTAAGATCCAGTTGATTATAAATTATGGATTCAATAGTTTTTGTTTGACCTTCTTCTAGTGCCCACATTAACATCAAAAATTTAAGTTTATCATTACTAATTAATAAACCTGCAGATTTTGAATGTTCGTGCTGTGTTGCTATTTGAAGTGCTGTGCGTCCAAAATTATCTCTCATAGCAGTATCAGCTCCAAAACTAAGCATTATTCCAAGATTCTCCGTATGGCCATTCTGTCCCGAAAACATGAGTGCTGTCCAGTTGTCACTATCTGTGGCATTTATATCGGCTCTATTATTTAGTAATAAACTAATATTTTTTGTATGTCCATTTTGTGATGCTAGCATTAGTGCAGTGCAACCAGACTTGTTTTGTTGATTAACATTTGCACCTTTCTCAATTAACAATGCAACAATGTCACAATTGTCATTCTGAGATGCAAACATCAGAGCAGTGGAACCTAAAGTGTCTTTATCATTGATATTTGCATCTTTATCAATTAACAATGCAACAATGTCAAAATGGCCGGCCTGAGATGCAAACATCAGAGCGGTGCAACCTGAAATGTCTTTGTCATTAACATTTGCACCGTTCTCAATTAACAGTAAAACAAGTTTCCTAAGATCACATTCAGATGCAACGATCCCTGAAGCACAATCTGAACTGTCTGGTTCATTAACCTTTGCATCTTTCTCAATTTTTACGAGATCGTGTTTGTCAATCTGCGATGCAACCATCAGTGCAGTCAGGCCATCGTTATCACATCCATTAACGTCAGCTCCATGATCAATAAATAACTTGACAATATCTGTGTGACCATTCAGTACAGATATCATTAGAGAGCCCCATCCTTCATTTTCTTTATGATTAATGTTACAGCCCCTGTTTACTAACAAAGAAGCAATATCTCTGTGACCATTTTGAGATGCGAACATCAAAGCTGTCCAACCATCATTGTCTATTTCATTGACACTGACACCCTTTTTAATCAGTAAAGACACAATTCTTGTTTTATTTTCCCTGGATGCAAACAACAAAGCAGTCATCCCATCTTTGTCCTTTATATGTATGTCTGCACCATATTGAAGTAGTATGTAGACCGTGTCGATATGCCCTTCTCGTGATGCCACCATCAAGGCTGTCCGATCATATGAGTCATGAGAGTTTACATCAACTTTCTTATTTATGATTATGTCTATGACGTCTTTAGTACTCCTTGCTGCAGCTATAATTAAATCGTTAATTTCAACATAATTTTTGTCATGACCATTGTTCCTTGCTTGCCCAGGTTTATAAATCTCGTCTTCGAATTCAGTTTGTAGATTGTTTACCGGTGTCTTTGTGTCGCCATTGCCTATTAGCATTAACTCTTTTTCAGAAACATATGCGTTAAGACTAGTTGGAATTTTTTTCATTGCAAACATTAAAGGAGATCTGCCATCTTTGTCTTTTGTGTTAACACTACTTCCCCTTTCTATCAGCAGATTGACGCTCTCATTGTGTTCATGGTCTGCTGCTATCATCAGTGCAGTCCGTCCATTACTATTTGATTTCGTAATGTCAGCTCCTTTGTCAATGAGTAATGTAATTATCTCAGTATGTCCATTCTGTGCGGAAAACAGAAGTGCTGTCCAGTTGTCATTTTCAGTAGCATTTATATCAGCTCCATAATCGAGAAGTACACGAACAGTTTGTGTATGTCCATTTTGTGATGCAAGCATCAGAGCACTGCATCCTGACCTGTCTTGTTCATTAACATGTGCACCATTCTGAATTAACAACTCAATAATGTCATAATTGCCAAGCTGAGATGCAAACATCAGAGCAGTGCAACCGGAATTATCTTTCTCGTTAACATTTGCACCGGTCTCAATTAACAGTAAAACAAGTTTCCTAAGATCACATTCAGATGCAACGGTCCCTGCAGCACAATCTGAATTGTCTTGTTCATTAACATTTGCATCTCTCTCAATTTTTATGACATCGTGTTTGTCAATCTGCGATGCAACCATCAGTGCAGTCAGGCCATCGTTATCACATCCATTAACGTCAGCTCCATGATCAATAAATAACTTGACAATATCTGTGTGACCATTCAGTACAGATATCATTAGAGAGCTCCATCCTTCATTTTCTTTATGATAAATATTACTGCCACTATTTATTAACAAAGTCGCTATGTCTGTGTGACCATCTTGAGATGCGTACATCAAAGCTGTCCAACCATCTTTGTCTGTGTTATTGACACATGCCCCACTTTCTACAAGTATTTGCAAGTTATCATAATGGCTATTATTTTCATCTGTTATTTTGTTTCTTATTTCTTGAATTTCTTGAATTGCTGCCCTTGTTTCTAAAAGCCAAATAGCATTATCCTTTTGACTACCGACTGTAAAGTACATCAGGGGAGTTAAGCCATTTTTAAACCTGTGGTTGACACTTGCTCCATGTTGAAATAAGAGTTGTGCAGTTACTATCTTGTTGTATTGTAAGGCTATTGTCAGAGCTGTCCAACCATCGTTGTCAGTCTTATTTACATCTGCTCCTTTTTCAAGAAGGAATTTGCAAAGAAAATATCGTCCAGTAGCTGACGCATACATCAACGATGACCGTCCATAGCTGTCTATGTCATTAACATTTGCTCCATTTACTGGTAACACAACTTGAACCTCCAAATGTCCATTGTATGACGCGTACATCAATGGTGTTCTGCCAAAATGGTCTTTTTCATTAATGTTCGCTCCCTTTTCTAAAAGGAAAAGGGCTGCATGCGGAAGATAGCAGTTATAAACTGCATAAAACAGTGACGTTCTGCCAATAAAATCCTTTTCCTGAATATTAGCTCCCTTTTCTATGAGCCTACTAACGAAACCTAAATGACCATTGAATATAGCATTCATAAGGGTAGTTCGACCATTGTTGTCCCTTTCATTGACATTGAGATTCGCATAGTGTTCAAAGAGCAATTGCTCTTTCTTGTCTATATCGTGTCTTGAGACAATAGCGAGATCTCTACGGCTTTTTTCAAATATTCCAAGGTCTTCATCACACATTTCAATGACCATTGGAAAAATAGTGGCAACGCGTCTCTCACCCATTCCTAAATTTTCCTTTTTGCGATGTTATATAATTTGCCCCGAAGTTAGGACTTGCTAAGTATTTTAAGCATGCACATTTTAATTTGTAAGAATGCGTTTCGATAGCTCAGCTGCATCAATGAACTTTTGGGCTTTTTATAACTTGATTCTGAAAAGGTATACAAGAAAATATTAAAATAATTATCTGTAAAGTTTTCGAGTTCAGCATTTAAATACAAGTGCTAGACTCGAAATGTCATTTATAAATAAAGACATTAAAATAAAACATTTAGAAGACAGACTGTTTAATTATTTCAACTTTTTTTTTTTTTTCTTTTTTTTTTTTTTTTTTTTTTTTTTTTTTTTTTTTTTGGTAAGGAAGAATATATTTGAAATAGAAAGATGACTCTTATCATGGAAACATACTTGACGTTGAATTAAAATGTAAAACAATGATAGTGTTAAACACTGAGGTCTTTTCATTAACAAAAATGGTATAGGGCTTAAGAAGGCTAATTATAAAAAGTGTTTAACTGCGATAAAGCTTTAAAATAGATGGGTTTACCTGCACAAGTCGCAACGTGATTTACACCATCATTTGCAAAAAGTGCGGTAAAGTATACTTAGGAGAGACAGGTTCAGATGTACTGCTGTTGAATACAGATTTTTCTCATTGACATCAGCTCCACGTGAAATAAGCGTTTGACGATGTTCTTTTATTCAGTAATATCATGAGATTCGTCCAGCCACCAACGATTATTTCATTAACTTTTGTTCCTTTATCAAGGAGCAGTTTTGTGACATCATCATGACCATATTGCGATGCTATCGCCAATGCAGTCCACCCGATCTTATTTTTGACATTGACCTCTGCATTAGATTTAAGTAAAAGTTCAACCTGCTCATGATTTCCCAGTTCAGATGCAATCATCAGGGGCG